GCCTATTCTACTTACGTTTGTATGTGAAGTCGAAATCAACCCCAACTTTGCTTTAAAAAGCATCGCAAGATCTCCTAACCGAAGATCACATGATCACAAACGGAAATCACTTCCGTGAAGTGACCATCGCATGTTCCCTTCACTAACGGATTTCTGGAAGGGCCCTTCGTGAAGGGATTCAGTTGTTTACTTTCGTTTGGAACGTCCCTACAAATGGCGTCCCCTTCCCGAAGTGCCCTTCAAGGGTGCAAAAAGCCATTTGGAATTCGCCCAGTTTCACCACAGAACCCATAGATATGTATAGGTAGATGCCACATTCGACTGCTCCAGACAAGTCATCGTGTCCAACATCTTGGAACGGTCAATGTGTCGTCACTCATAATAAAAATTTCACTCACAATAAAAGTTTCAAAATGGCACAACATTGCACTGCCTCTGGTTGTAAAAACCGCCAAAATTTTAATTCCTGAAGAAATTGTATAAACTTTCACAGGTAAGAATGTGTAGGTGTGTGTGTTTTAATATGTATTAACTCAATATTACTGTCACGATCACTCGGGGAAGGAACGAGGAGATCCAGGAGAATACTTCTTATTCGACTTTAATCACGCAAACAAAGGGATACAACCACAGGAAATGAAGAATGACGTTTAACAGCCAACGCTAGACACAGGGAAACGCACGGCTTAAGTAGACAAGGAAACTAATGAGGGAACACCTGGAAATAATGAACATGATGACATGAGTGAAAACACAGCTGGAACCAAATAAACAAAATGAGGACAGGAACAGGAAACATGACCAAAAAAGAGAAACAGGAACTAAGACAGGGGTAAAACAAGGAAACACAAGTCCACAACACTGACAATTACTCCCCCCTCCCGGAAGGCGCGTCAATTAACAATTCCACCGGGGAGGGGAGGGTGGGCGCCCTGGAGGCTGGTACAGGACGGAGACACGGGAGGCCTCCAGGGCAGATCAGGGAGCTCAGGCGGCCATGGCTGGACAGGCAGTCCCAGGAGCCATGGCGGATCAGGCAGTCGAGGGTGCCATGGTGGAGCGGGCAGTTTGGAGCAAGGAACTCAGGAGGCCATGGCGGAGCAGCCTCCGAGGCCGCGGCCGCAGACCCCGCCCCGGCCACTATGGCTGGAGCCCTACTACGCCCCAAAAAAAATACTTGGAGAGGATAACGGGCTCCAAGGCCCTCTTGGGGCCAAAACCGGGGACTGGAGCCCTCCCTGGGCTTAACGGGGAATCAGGAGCCCTCCCTGGGCTCAACGGGGGATCTGGAGCCCTCCCTGGGCTTAACTGGGGGATCTGGAGCCTTCCCTGGGCTCAACGGGGGATCAGGAGCCCTCACTGGGCTATACTCGGGGACTGGAGCCCTCACTGGGCTAAACTCGGGGACTGGAGCCCTCACTGGGCTAAACTCGGGGACAGGAGCCCTCACTGGGCTAAACTCGGGGACAGGAGCCCTCCTTGGGCTAAACTCGGGAACAGGAGCCCTCCCTGGGCTCAACGGGAAAATCAGGGTTGCAGAAATACAGGCAACTTGCTTGAGTGTTCAAAGACCTGCTTTGATCATTCCAATATGGCAAATGGCTTACATATAGCTGCCCATAGAAACAGCTGCTAATAGGAGATCTACCTATACATATCTATGACAGAATCTTCTTAACCTGAGCATATACTGTACACCTTCAGTTACACACTTACAGTGTATTACTGTTAGCTTGTGCTGCAGTGTACTGGAATGGTGCCTGTGTCACCAACATTTCTCTCCACATTTTTCTCTTTTTCTTACCAAACCTTGCAGGTCTTATTAAAAAAAACGTAAGTACACAGAGGTTTTTTTTTTTTTATTCAGCATACCGTGGAAGGAGTATAATTGCTCTGAACTGTTATTCATTCATGATCTCTTAAACTCACATTCCTACAATAGTCGAGAGAGCATTTAGTTCAGAGTAAAAGCTCATTCATTCTGCAGTGACACTCTGAAGACTTTTGAGGCTCGGTGAATAGATTAACTTCCTGGAATCAATTGTACATCAATTACGCAACTGAACTACAGAAATGAAATCACGGCTATAATAAGATCCTACAAGACCCCGCCCCCTTGCTTTATCTTACATGTGCGCCATCTGTCACTCAAACATCTATTTTTTTGATTGGTCTAAATATGGGGCGGAGCCAAATTTGGTTCATAATCTGAGTGGAGGTAGAGCAAGGGTAGGGCTATGGTGAATTAAATCTTTGGCTTTGATGGGAGATTGGCATTTGCAGAGCGGGACAAAGCTTCATACTATAAGCTGAATAACTCATGATGATTGAAGCAGGTCGAGTTGAGGGAAAGCTAATGGGGTCACTGCTTATCTCTGTGCCCGTGCCAGAAAAACAGGCTCAAGCCCGCAGTCCTCGCCCAACACACCTCCCCCATTTGAAACACAGGCTTGCTATGTCCGTTGCCAGCCATCTTTATGGATTCATATTACTGGAAAACTCTGGAATGACCACACGCATTTGACACAGTATGACCCGTCATATAGGATTCATATATAACATGACCACTAAGCATAATAATAATTATAAAAAATATAATTGCTTCTGGCCTGTGCCATCAAATACATTCTTATCTGAGACTGGAGGATGTTTGTGCTTTGCACTTAATGGATTTTTCACACATTGTGGTCTGATAAGGAAGTTATTGCAGGAAATTTAGTAACTGCGTGTTCCCATAGTATGCATTTAGACTATTAAGGCCTTCTGATGTATGTGACAGCAGTAACATTTAATACAGAGAGAAAAGAGCGAAGGGCATCTTCATTCATAATTTCCAGCTTTATTAAACAAATGTCTACAAAAGAGGGTTATGAGCATTAGCAGACAACACTGATACTTGAGTGGAGTGGGATGTGTTTAAGGTTACCTTCAGAGAATTAATGACAGAGACATTAGGTTAACTGTGCACTTCAACCACATTTGTAACCACAACGGTAGCAGTCATTTGTCACTTCTATTAGCGGGTCACATTAAGGCCGAGCTCCACTATTTTATTTTAGAGTCAACAATATTTAATGTTTAAAATAATAATAAAAGACTTACTGGAATAAAAATATTATTACAAAAAATAATAGACTTATTGGAATAATAATATAATATTACACATAAGAACTATTTCTAAATCCTTTTTTTTCAGATACCAAAACAGATTACATAAATAATAACAATAATAATAATAATAGAAGTAATAATAATAATAATAATAATTATTATTATTATTATTATTATCACCCTTACCCCAATTTCTCAAAACGTGTAAAGCCTTTTGACTCCCATTCTTTTCCACTGCTAATGTACCATTTCTAGTGTCACAGTAAGTCACAGTAAATAAATCAAACTTAAACTGCACTACACATAAGACAAATAAATTTAACTAGCTGACATGATGCTATTAATGCTCTGGTATCAGTCACACACAAGAAATAAAAATTCACAGGAACCCCATCATCTATAAAATACGACGTATCTGCATGTGCCATCTGTCAAATCATAATGATCTAATAATTAACACCAAACTGCATGCATAAGTGGAATATTTTGATAGCACGACAATACTAACTGTCTGAAATGATAACAGTTCAGAAATTTCAAAAAGCCAACGTGTGCTTTTCCTCTCACATTTGGTTGAATTGCTTGGTTCTTTCTACATTGTGTCTGTGGCTCTGGACAGTGGTATGATTGCGTCACCTCCAACAGTAATTCCCTAATGGCAGCCATTTACTGTAGCTAGGTAACAACGCAGGAGGAGAAGACGCCAATTTCAGTGTTTTATTGAAGTACTTGTCCCTTTGGATATACCAGCAAAACTTAATACGCACACAACGGCACATCAGTTTGTCTGCTTGTGAGCTGCAGAAGTATTGCAAGAGATGCAAACAATGCAAGATGCTCTCCAAAGGCAATTTCATTGAAGGCAAGCAGTTATGAGAAACGCAAAAAATGTAAATTTGACGTCATCAGTACTGACTCATTTACTCAAGTTAGACGACCTTTTCAAGCAGATTCTCTCATGTCAAATGTCAAACGGACTCAGGTTTGCACCTAAGGTTTAGTGTAAAAACACCACAAGAGTTTCAGGTAACTGGAAAATATATGTGTCTTAAAGGGACAATTTTTGTGACCCCCTGCTCAGCCGTTTATACGGATATAAAAGGAAAGTGTTCCCACGGGCCCCTGTTCTGTCAGTCAGTGCCCTCCCTCCCTCTCTCCCTCCCTCCCTCCCAGAGTTTAATTGATCTGTTGCATAATATGAACGTTCTCTCATGGAGATGAGGAAGGACAAAGAGGAGAGAGAAGCAGTGGAGCTCGTCAGAGCTGCATTACGCCTCAATTGTTGGTATCTGGCTGTGTGTGTCCACAAAGCTCACTGCAACGGCCAGTCAATAAACATTCAATTACACAATTTCATCATGATGTCAGCGCAGCAGGAGTTTTTGCTTGCATTTCGAAATGTCCATAGCGAAATATCCAACACTTTTTAATTTAAATATTATTTTGTGTCTCTGATTTTCGGCTCTTGTGCAGAGGAAGAATAATGAATTGTCCTGTGACAATTATCAAACCAGAAGCGCTCAATGCGATGCGGATTTCCATAGTAATTAGAATCGTAACTGGCCACACAGAAGTCTCCTCTTGTAAAGGGATGGCTAATCAAATCGGAAAGATAGATACCTTGTGACGGAATCTGACGAGAGGTCGATACGCCATCAGGGTAAATCCTTCTTTGTTTGGACGTGCCTCTGCGATCAGCGCTGCGCCCCAGAGCAGGACAGCTGCCCACCATCTTCTGGAGCCTCTCATTACCCTCCTGTAATAAAATAAAAGATGTGAATACACAAATAAACAACAACCCGTGTAGGTTAAGTCAAGCGGAGCATTTAAAGCCTTTTGAAACAAACAATGCATCATAGCTCAGCTAATTAGAGCAGACAACGGAGGATGCCGATCTACTGTGGGTTTAAACTAATGCTTTCAATAAGAAGCTCACACTCATTGGTACGATTAAATCTATTTTGAATCAATTAAGGAATAATGAGCACCATGAGGAAATAAAGCTAAAGCTAAAAAAAAGGATCAATATATTACCGTGCTGATGGTGAACGCATTAGATTGCAGTTCTTTTTAAGTCAGGCATTCATATCAAAGTAACATTTAAATTCAGTCCTGATATGAGACTTTTTCATCCCCTTTATCAGTGGTTTTCAAACTGGGGTTCGGAAACCCCTGAGGGTTTTAATAAAAATAGATTTAAAAAATAAACAATAAATAAATTAAGAAAATAGATTAAAATTAAAGTACAGTAATATAGTGATTGGAAAAAAAAAAAGTAATAATGTAAGAGAAAATTTAAAAGTTTGAAAACCCCTGCCCTATATGACAAAGCTATCTCAAAATAATACTGACACTGTTGTAACACTAGTACTAAACCGATATTGACTGATATTGAACTGCTATTTTCTTGTTAGAGCTGCTATAAAACCGAATTTGTATTTTATTTAATATTTTATGAAGTTTGCATAATTGATTCTGTTATTTTCTGTTTATTAGTGTGAAGCTGCTTTGAAACAATATGTATTTTATAAAGCACTATATAAATAAAGGGGACTTGACTCAAAATATATTTGGATTCACAAAACACAAAAGTGCCACTTTTGCACAGTATTTCAATGCAAAAGCTTTGGAGCATGAGTGGAGTCCCATGAGTTGTTCTGTCAGAGAAAGCAACGAAGCAACAAAGACAGCACATAAAAATAAAACATATACATATGAGTAGGATATACTCCGAGGCCCCCCTCATCACAGGTCCCAGGACAACCACTGTGTGAGAGTGTTGTCCTGCTAGACTTCATGGATTTGGAATGGAAACAATAGTTTAGAATGACATGGGATTGGATTTCAGAACAAAGCAATTCAGAAGAGATTCTTCTCATTGGTTAGTTCAAAGACCATCCATATTTCACATCATTGGTTTGAAGTCAGGCACATGACTGGCCCAAGAAATGAGCAAGTACTCTTGATGCAAACCTGTGCTACCCATCTGTGCTTTTATTTCAATTTCAGCATACATGACTGTCATATGTCATGCTGTCTGCCAAAGAGAGAGCGCATGAAGAAGGAAGACTGAACGCTGTGCAACCACCTATAGGGACAGTCATCATAACTTTATCAGGTGGCCATAAATCGTCTACACCACATCTATGCCAAGTGTCTTGGCATTGACTTTCAAATGAGGGCTGTCTATCACTCACAATGTTCACAATAGATCATTGTGTGAGAGTCTCCCAGCAGGCAGAGCAATATGAGTGTCTTCTACTGCATCTAAACTGTACTGTACTTGCCCACAGTCATAGCAGTAGTGATTGTTTACTGATCAGTGCTGCCATGTATTCAGAGCATGATCTTCTGAACCATTCTCTATTTCCACCTCTCGGTACACCCCCATGCTCTGGTAGACTAGAGTAATATTGCTGTGTTGGCAACACTGGCATTGCAGACATTTGTAGTCTTTATGGTTATAATTTATGCTGCCTTCTACAATAAAGGGTACATATTGACCATACTAGATTACCAAGGTTGCCAAAGTTTCCACCTGGCTCATTGACATAAAAAATGACAATTAAGAAAGGAAATGAGAGTGAGAGTCAACAAATGTTATTTTTACAGTACAACAAAATAAAATAAACAGTGTAAAAGTACAGTAAAAATAAAAAGGAAAAAATAAAACCTAGAGTAATAATTTTGTAGTCTGTATAGAAAATGAGAGTCAACAAAAGCTATTTTTACAGAAAAATAAAATACAAAATAATCCAGAGAAATAATGGTTTGTTGGCAACACTGGCATTGCAGACATTTGTAGTCCTTGTAGTTACAATTTATGGAAATAAAAGAGTCAACAAATGCTATTTTTACAGAAAAAATTAAAATTCAATAGAATAATTTATTTTCAAAGTGGACCACATAGTATGCATCCCAGACAGATTGTAATCACATTTCCATGAGGGAGATGTGGAAAGAGTCTTTGAGGATTCATATAAACAAACACCAACACTTGCAACTAAAAAAACTCTCTTCCACAGTAAAGAAGGCATTAGACAAAAACTCCACTTCCATAGGGGGCTAACACATTTGGGGCAGGATTCATGAAACATTCTTAAGAAGAAATTTCTTCTTAACTGCCATTTTCTTCTTATTTTTTAACTTAAGATACATTTTTGGGAATACAAAATATTCTTAACTTTTTTCTTAAGAATATTCTTATCTTTTTTCTTAAGATTGTTCTTAAGACAAAACTTGAGAAAAATTAAAATTCTTGAAAATAATCTTCTTAAAAATCATCGTAAATAACTTCTTAAATTTAGGACAGCCCCAGACTTGTCTTAAATCCCAAACAGTAAGAATTATTTAATGAATTTATTGGGTTATTTCAAATAAATTGTTATATTTAAGCATTACAACAACACTAGCTACATATAATACATAGTAGGACTATTAAAGGGGTCATATGATGCGATTTAAATTTTTCCTTTATCTTTGGAGTGTTACAAGCTCTTGTTGCATAAAGAAGATCTGTAAAGTTGCAAAGACTAAAGTCTCAAATCCAAAGAGATATTCTTTATAAAAGTTAAGAGTCAACCACGCCTACCTAAAACGGCTCGTTCTAACACCCCCCCACATGTCTACGTCACGATGTGGGAAGATTTGCATAACGCCGCCCAAATGTTCACGCAAAGAAAGAAGACGTAACTTTTATTCTCGCTGTAGTATTACTGTTGCCGCTGTCGCCATGTCGTGAAGACGCTGTGTGCTTCGTTGTGAAAGCGAAACTACTTTGTTTGGTCTTCCAAAAGAGGACGATATCCACTTCGTCATGCCTA